AGAAGAATAATTAAGTTTGATAGAAAGAATTAACTGAGTTAAAAATAGTTAATTAGTATTTTTTTTAATAAAACACATATATTTTATCTTATATCTTATTTTATTTTTTTCTTGCTCTATTAAAAGAGTATTTTAATTAAAAATAAACTCACATAAATTATCTTATTAAGAAGATATAATTCTATCTTATTTGTATCCTCCCTCCCCCTATTATATCCCAATCTCAGCTATATCCTAACTTTTCAGCTGGATGGATTTTCCTTATTATAAATTAATATAAATCTATCTCATTTGTATTCCACTCAAATATATTTCTATTCCCAAAATTCTATAGTTCTGATTTCTCATGCTTCTATATATCATATCTCATTTATATCTTCTCTTATATTATACAAAATATCATGTCATATAATCTGTATTAGATTTATCAATCATTTATCATTTTAATAAATTTAGATCATAAATTATATGTAAATCAGACCACATAAATTAATCAGCTTGCATAAATCAGGTCATATAAATTAATTAGCTTGCATAAATCAGATCATATAAATTGGACTATAGTTTATTACTATTATTTTATCAGTAATAATTTACAAATCTTTGCACTTTAAAATAACTAGTTTTGTAAATATTACTAATACAAATAGATAAAGAAAGAAAAGAAGAAATTTATCACTTGAGAATAAAGTAAATATTATTAAGAAAAAAGAAATTGATACAAAACTAAGTAATAAAAAATTGGCAAGCGAGTTCAGTATAGACTATTTAACTATTAGTAGTATTCTTTGAAAGAAAGACAAATTTTTATAATTATATACAAGTGTAAAATGTTCAGATCTAAAGAAGATTTATATTTAGGAAGCATAATTTTCTTCACTAGAAGAGGTATTATACAAGTGATTTTAAAATTTACATAGTCAGAATATTTCTATCTTCCAGGATATTTTGAAAGAAAAAGCAGTTGAATTTTATAATAGAACTAAAGAAAATAGTGCATAATTTTCTAATTTTAAAGTATCAAATGACTGGTTGAAAAAGTTTCAGAAAAGATATAATATCAGTAACAAATCTATTACAGATGAAAGTGAATCAGTACATCTTAATCAAGTAGAAATTGAAAGAAAAAATCTATAAGAGATAATAACTATATTTGATATTAAAAATATTTACAATACAGATGAAACAAAACTTTTCTTTTAATTAGCTCTAAACAAAATACTTGTATCAAAAAGTAATAAAGCAAAGGATATTAAAAAAGATAAAGAATAAGTTATTATCTTATTTTGTTGCAATATAACAGATACAAAAAAAATTAAATCTTTTGTTATAGACAAATCATGAAATCTCTATTATTTAACAAAGTCAATATAGCTATATTATCTGTTTAATATTCTAGTAATACAAAAGCTTGGATAACTATGAAAATATGGAATGAATAGTTGAAGTGGTTAGATAATAATATATTTCAGAAGTCACTATTAATAGTTAATAATTGTTTTACACATACAGATAGCTCTTTTCTCAGTCTGAAAAATCTAAAAATAGAATTTCTTCCTTCAAATACTACATCTCAAATCTAATCTTGCAATGCTGAAATTATTTGTAATTTTAAATCTTATTATCAAAATATCTTGATGATAAAGTGAATTTGTGAATTAAATAATAAACAAATAATAGATAAATTAAATTTTAAAGAGGTAATTGAACTAATTATAGATGCTTGAAATAATGTTAAACAGAATATAATAAATAACTATTAGCAAAATATGAGAATTTTACTAGTAGAAATAGTACCTATTAATGTAAATAAAATAGAAATTGATGAAATTAATGAAGCTATAGCTAATTTAATTTTGGCTCTTGATAATCTGAAGCTTACAGATCTCTTGATAAATGTAATAGTAGATAAGTATATCAATACAGATAATGGTTTGATTAATATATAATTACTTACAGAAGAAGAAATTTTTAAAGAATTTCTTATAGCTGAGGGTGTCCTGCAGCTAATATAAGTAGACATTAAAGAAAACTCAAGTGATAAAGAGAAGACTACTATTTCTATACAAAAAAGAACAGAAACTCTTGAATTAGCTAAAAAATTTTTAAAATAAAGAGAATTTATGACAGAAAGTAATATAAGATATATACATAATATAATTTGATACTTAGATAATTCAATAGAAAAATTAAAATATCAAACTTTATTAATAGAATTTATTAATTAATAAAATTATATGCTTTAAATAATATTACACACATATATATATCTCAGTTATATCTCATCTCAAATATATAAAATGCTCCATCCTGAAGTAAAGATATAAACAAGATAGGACTGTAATTAAATTTTGATTAGAAGTAAAATATATATAAATTATTTTATTAAGAAAATAATTATATTTTGTTAAAAGAAAATTTTATATATATTATCTTATTGAGAAGATAATTAGTCATATAATTTCTTGAAGTTATAAAAAATAAATAATTACTGTAAATACAGTTACTATTATTATTTTAAAATAATTATATATATATAATCTTAAAATAATAATAATATAATTAGATGAATAATTACTTATATCTTATAGAATATTAGCTTTAGAAAATATTATTTGTAGATATTTTTAGAAGATTTCATAAATATAATGATCATAGCAAAATTATTATAGTAAAGTTAGCAAAACTATTATAGCAAAACTAATAATACTATTATAATAAAATTAATATTATGATATTAGCTAAAGTAATATTTAAATTATAGTAAACTAGTATAAGTATTATAATAAAAGTATTATTTATATAATCTTTAAAATATATAAAAGTAATATATTTTAGCTAGTAAATTTAGACAGGTAGTTAGATAGTTAATAAGATAGTTAAAAAGTTAGTTAATAGTTAATTAGTTATTTAATTTAGTTTGAGTTCTATAAGTTTAGTTCTCAATTTATATTTAAGTAAATTTTAGTTTTAAGAGAATTCTAAGAAATTTCTCTTGTAAAATAGATCTTGATTAAGATTTATTATTTTATCTTGTTAATAAACTAAATATTATATCTGTCTTGAAATTATATTTTGGAATTGAACTATATTATAGCTAGTCATAACAAGAACACTATCATTATCTATCTTTAGATTAACTTTGAAATAATAGTAGATATATTCTTATTAATAAATCTTTTAAAGACTCTTTCAAATATCACTTTAAGTACATGATTACTTTCATCATATGCTTTTATAATATTAGATTTAATACTTATCCTCATCTCAGAATTTGTATCAAAAAGGTAATAATAGTAAATAATTTAATTACTAAACTTTAAATCTTTAATATCTTTATAACTACTAATTCAATTTTAATAAAATTTAGAGCATATATTTATCAAATATAAGATAATCTGTTTGTATAGTTTGAAGTTTTAATTTTGTAAATTAATAATAATAATATTTAAAATATCTTTTTTTAAAAAAAATAATTGATATATTAATATAAAATTAATAATTACTTCTAATAAAAATTATTTAAATTTTAATTAATCTTTATAATTTTATTATATTAAATAAAGAATTAACTTTTTACATTATTTTAATTATTCTATTATACTTAATTTAATAATATTATTTTACTAAAAAAACTAAAATAAAATTATTTTTTTTTAAAAAAAAGATATTTTAAATATTATTATTATCAATTTACAAGATTAGAATTTTAAACTATGCAAGTAGATTATTCTAAATTTGATAAATATATATTCTAAATTTCATAAAAATTAAATCAGTAATTATAAAAATATTAAGATTTAAAATTTAGTATTTAAATTATTTACTTTATAATTTTTATATCTAAAAAAAATATATATTAAATTATAATTTATAAATTTTATTTTAATATAAAAATAAAAATTATTTCTTAATAAAATTATAAAGTTTCATATAGAGAGAAAATTTAATTTTTATTATATTTTATTATATATTAAATTTTTTATTATTAATATTAATTTTTTTAATTTGTATATAAATTATTATTTAATATATTTTTATAAAAAATTAATAATTATAATAATTATTAATTTTTAATTTTAACTTTTTAATTTTTAATTTTTTAATTTTTAATTTTTTAATTTTTATTATTTTTTAAAATAGTTTTAATTCTTTATCTTAATTATTTATTTATTTAAATAAGATAAAATATTTTTTTTAAAAAAAATTTTTTAATTATTAAAATATAGATTTAATAATATTCTTTAAATTTTTTAATTTTAAAAAATATATTTTATATAATAATTTTAAATTAATAAATTAATATAAAAAATTTTGAATTTAAAATAGAAATAAATAAATATATAATTATAATATTATAAATTTAATTTTGTTAATATAATAAAAATTAAAAATTTTAATATTAAAGTTTATAATTTTATTAAGAAATAATTTTGATTTTAAATTAAACTAATATTTGCAATTTATAATTTAATTAAAATAAATTTTATAATGATTTGTAATTAATATAGTTCTTTTAAAAATTTGAAAATATATATTAAATTTTATTTATAAATTTTATTTAATATAAATTCAAAAATCATTTATAATAAAATAATATAAGCTTTAATAAAAAGAGAAAATTTTAATTTTAAATATATTTTATTAATATAATTATAAAATTATTATAATTTCTTTTATATTTTATTATAGAAACATTGAGTATAGAGAGTGTGAGTATAGAGAGATCTGACTGTAATTTATATCTAATTTTAATATGAAAAAATCTAAAAATTTTATTAAACTTGGAAACACGTGATTCTAATAAAAGAAATTGATCACAAATGGATTTTTATTCATGCGTGTGTGATTTTGCTGGGAAGCGCGGAATTCTTTTGCGCGACTTGCTAGAGAAAACATTTTATTCTAGCTAGTGTTTCCCATCTATCGAGTTGAAAATCCTTTTGACAACCAGCAAGAAATATAGATAGTTACATACATCAAAACACGGTAATAGGATAATGTTGAATCCACGCGTGTTTTTTGACATCGACATTGATGGGCATCGAGGTGTGTCTATATACTTTGTTATTTACAAAATACCAGTTTAAGTCCACCGGAAACATTGTTCTAACGATTTTTATGTAAAATAGTTGGCAGGTACAGAATCACCTCTTTTTCCTTAATTTATAAAAAGATCACAAGCAAAATAAGATATAGATAGAGGAATCATAGATTATGCTTTTTTTTTGGTATCTGTCAATATCATGCTCTTTGCGTCATTAGTTTTATTTTTGAAAAGTGCAAATACAACAACCGTTACATATATGTATACACATCTTACCACTATGCAGTGGAGAAAAGCACATACGTTCTCTCTGTCTCTCTGTGACTCTGACACGTAAAAAAACTACTACTTGACTCACATTATTAAACCTCAAACTTGTCCTCCACAAGGATCGTTATTGAGTTATTTAAAGATGAGGTTCCAGTGAGTAAAATGAAGTAATTAGTATTGTTATTTAATGGAATTTACAAATTAATTATTGGAATTTTTAATTTAGTTGACGGCGGAAAATTTTAGAGCACTTTGCACTGGTGTGTTTCTTCAAGATTATATACTCTTGTGCTAATTTTTGTCGCAGTTAAAATATTAATTTCTAATTCTATAAATCATGTGATTTTCGGGCATTATTTATGTGTACATTTTATATATGATGTATCAGGTGAAAAAGGACTCGCGAAACTGTCTAATGTGCCTTTACACTATCGTGGATCGATATTTCATCGGTATTATCGAAACCAATTTCAAATTTTTTTTTGCTCTTTCTCGATAATTAAAATTGTAATGTAAATCTCTCAATTGTATTAGAGTGATCAAAGGTTTTATGATACAGGGTGGAGGTAACTATTAGAATCGTCTAAGCGCTTTATTGAAGCTTTTCTCTGTCATATTCAAATTTTTATTGGGCAAACATAATAAAGACTTCACTAGAAGAGATGGAACAGGTGGTGAGAGTATCTACGGACAAACATTTGCGGGTGAGTAGAAGTCTCAATCTCTCTTAAAAGATATTCCGTCAAAATAATGTTTTCTAACATTTAATTATATTAAAGATGAGAATTTTCGTCGCAAACATGATCAGGAAGGATTGCTGTCCATGGCCAACAGGGGGCCTAATACAAATAGTTCACAATTTTTTATAACTGTACGGCCAACACCTCATTTAGATGGTAATATTTTACATTAAACTAATGCATTCATCCCATTAAACTGAAGTACTTGAAGGGACTAGAATTATTTTCAGGGATCCGCCTCGATAAACCGAATTTTAGAATTTTCTGACCGTTTCGGTTTAACGAGATTGGTTATCTGTTAGTTATGAGTTATTAATTACTATGCTAACGGTAATAATAATATAGGAAAACACGTTGTCTTTGGTCGTGTTGTCAGTGGTTTTGACGTTGTAGAGACTATTGAAAATACCCCAACCGATGAAAAGGACCGTCCAATCGCAAATGTGATGATTGGACAATGTGGAGAACTTGAATTGAGGCTTCCGCCCAATATTAAACGTAATTGTTTTTTAGTCTTATATTATAATTTACTCTATCGATTACTAAATACTTCCTGTTTTTACGTTAAAAGTAGCCGTCAAAGATAAATCGAAACTGAAACAAAAAGGAGAGAAGAAGAAAGCTGTTTCTCCCACATCATCTTCCGTTTCCGAATCAGAAGAAGACAGGAAAAAAAAGAAGAAAAAAAGACGATCGAAAAAAGCACGATCCGTTACGCCATCCTCAACATCAGACACTGAATCTTCCGATTCTGAGCGTGCTGCTAGACATAAAAAGAAGAAAGATAAAAAGAGAAAGAAAAAAAGTAGTTCTTCGAAAAAGAAAGATAAAGTGAAAAAACGACGTAGAGTTAGTAGTAGCAGATCACGCAGTCCAAGTGTCAGTCGTGGACGTAAAGCAAGAGCAAGAAGTCGAACACGATCACTTAGCAGAGATAGGTCCAATGTGAGTGTTGAAGAAGAGGATAATATTAAGCCGAAAAATGGGGATGGGCAACGAAGAGATCGTTCCTCATTATCACACTCTAAATCTCGATCACCCGCAAACTCTCGCTCAAGATCAAGGTCACATTCAAGATCAATCAAAAGACGATCTCGTAGCAGGTCACCAATGTCACATTCGAGATCGAGATCACCTCGACATAAGTCACGTTCTCGTTCATCACGTCCTCGGTCAAGCTCCCGAACGCGTTCTCTTCGTGAAAGATCACTTTCCCGTAGCAGAACCCCACCGCCAAGTCGTCGACGTCGGGGAGTTGATAGCTATAGACCTGGAGACACTTATATCGCGCCTAGTTATCGTCGTGATAGTGGCTCGACGCGTGACAAAACAAAAAGTTTTGAAAAAGCTCATGATCGGGATGATGATCGTGAATCTCGACGCGACAAAGATCGTGATTCCGCGAAGGATCGAGACCGAAGGGAACAAAAAGAACGTGAAGATAAAAAAGAAAAAGAAAGATCACGTGATAGAGACAAGGGCAAAGAACGAGAAAGCTCACGATCTAGAGGACGAGGCAGAGAAATACGTGAACGGAACGACGATGATCGTCGTGCAGAAAATGTAGATGATCATGAGAAGGAGGAAGAAGGGAAAAAGGATAAAAGTCGTCGGAGATCAATGTCAAGGTCTCCTCCGATCAAATACAAAGGACGCGGCAGAATGGTAATAATTTTAGCCATGTAATGAAAATTCACGATTCTTGATCATTGCATTAACAATTGATTTTTACAATAAAAATTTCAGAAGTATTTCCAGTCAATTAATTCCTAATAGTGTAATATCTTTGAAGAAAGGGAATTTTGATGGTAAGCCAGAGAGAAATTGGTAATCAATATTTCATATAATAAAGACGAGGTCTCTTGTATTAATTAGTTGTTAAACTAATAACAGGCAAAACAGCACAGATAACTCGTACACTGAATTTTGGCAAATTTAGAGATGATCGTAATGCTATTGCGAACGGAATTGCACTTAGCTTATAATAATGATAATTTGGATTTACATTAATTATTCATTCACCTTTATAATGAACACAAAAAACAATATATAAAAGAAAAAATTCATTATGTAGATAATATTAACAATAATTAAAGAGTGATGACCAACTAGCCCAGCTTTTTTATCAATAAACGAACAAACTATTTGAACATAAAAACTTGTAGTGATCGATCCCTTTAACAATTATATTTGTAAAATTATTGCTTAGATAAATGTTCGTGATTACAAAAATATTTTAGATGAATTAAAGTTTAAAAAAAAATAATTATCTATAGACGATATCGTGTCCCAAATTACCGAATTTTTTATAATGACCTAGACATACTTCGATTTGCAGAATTACTGCACAGAATGCGGTAAACTGGACACGGCAACGAGTATCGGATGTGTTTTTGCAACATTATTTTGATAATTTTCTATTTACTCACCTAATTCTTGTCACAGGTAAAATCTCCAAATCCCTCCACGAACGCACTAGCTGTGATAGAACAATTGAATCATCAAAGTTGAAGAACAAAACAAAACTTTAAATCAAGAAATTTGATTGACCGTTTCAGATAACCACAGTCAATCAAACCTTGAAGAGTTAAATTTCCATTTCAAATTTTTAAAAATGTGTACATGATCTTGCAAAGTTTCATACAGATTATCCCGAACATATAGAATTTAATATGCTAATTAATAAAAACATCATGTTTTTACGTGTAAACTCAAAATTACAAATGTTTATGAATTTCTAATCACATTTAACAAAACCTCGGTCAAATTTCCTTCACTAATTAATTTGTTTTAGCTTTTTCAACGACATGTTATTAACTTGGTTAGGAATCAATTTATGATCATCATTATCTTTGTTTTCAATAGATTTCAATAGCTGTTGCTGACTTTTTCCCCCTAAAACCTTATTAGCGCCACCCTTTTTCTTCATAGCAAGCATCGCTTTTTCATCGGCATCACGATCACCAGAAGTGATCACACCCAATCGTTGAACACCAGGATTCTTGGGACGGTGAGGAAATAAATCCCCCCACATTGATTTTTTGGCATCACGATACTCAATTTTACCTTGAGATTTTGGGATGACACAGCGTTCGATGAAACCTAAGACAATAATAAAGCATGAAATAAACGAATAGAGGTTATAGTTTATTTTTCAATAATTGATTGAAAATACCTTTTTTGTGGCATACATCCATGACAATATGACCTTTTCGTTTTATTGGTGGCAGTATGAGACGTGACCAGTGATAGGCATTATCCTTTAATTCTTGGATAGTAAAATATTCTAATTAACGAAATTTCTCCATGCAAACCGTAACTACTGAACAACAATAATAAAGATGAACAAAATAATGGCAATATGGAAATAAATACCATGACTATGTAAAGTCGACTTTGGATCTCCGAGATGCCTCGAAAAGTTGTATTCTGGACGAATTCCTTTTCGTAGAATGACATAAGAGTACATTGAATCTTCGAGATTGAATTTTGATTTTTTGGTTCTCATCTTGATATAGAAAAGAAATTTTTTTTCTATTTTAAGAGAAAGTCACTATCGAAATATATTAAAGGAATTAATTATTGTGCTTACAAGATATGAAGGTCTTTGTATCCGCTGTGAAAAATGGCACCAATTTCTCGAAGCCATCAATGGACATATCCCGTCATGTGGACACTAAATTTGGAGGCAACAACAACAAACATGAGTGCCTGACTGCCGAATTCGAATGAATGAACCAATAAAACATGTGGATTCCAGGATAAACTCTATTTTTTTTTACCATACAGGGGCAACAACATGCGCACCATTTAATTCTTCCGTGGTTTCCTTTGGTTCATTTATTGCCGCATCTCGTTCAACTATATAAGCTGACGACGACAAGTTATTTTGTTCAACGACAACAAGTTGATTATTGGATTCTTGTAAGATTGTTTGACGTGCTTTTGCAATGGTGTCGAATCCTGCTGGAGTTCCTCTTTCTATTAGTACCTTTTATCGGAAAATAAGTCGAGAAAAATTAGATCAGATATTTCGAATTATAGATGATTTTTATACTTACCAAAATATCTCGCGTTAATTTCCACATTGAATCCAGCGTTGTTCTCCTTGCATTCTCGCTAAGTTCATTTAATGAGAATGCACTAATTACGAGATCGTATTTGGTTGCCTAATGAAGCATGTTCGATGTATCCAGGAAAAAAGTCAACATAAAGAAACTAAATGTCATGGGAAAAAAAACAAGCCAAAAAATTACTGCAGGATTATATTCCAAAAATCGTCTAAAGACAACTTTTTGTGATTGATCAGTAGCTGGTTGCACTGTAAATATCAATTAATGAAATGTGTATATGATGGAATCCAAAAAGGAATTGAAAACGGCAGCTTACTCGATAAAAGCGAATTTGCGATGGCTAACATTGAATGAGACTTATCAATACCAACAAAAATCTCAGGATCATTTTGCCAAACTTGTTGAGTCGCCCTAAGATCATCATTTGTTAGTTAAATAACCATCTTTAGTTACGAATGTACAAACAAAACATCAACCACTAAAATATTGTTTCTACCAACCAAATAGCTGTCCCAGGACCTGTCCCAAAATCTAAAACACGTTTCGGCTTAAAATCTGGTATTCGTCTCTGCAATTCTGCAAGAACATTAAAGATTGGACCATATGCAATTGGCATATACCCAACTAAATAAGCCATCGATTCACGTGTTCCGTAGGTGAGTAGGTGAGGCTTCAATGGAGATTCCTTTGCTGCCTTTTTAAAAGTTCTCACAGCAGATTGGCATGGCCCATAAAGCGGATCTATTTAAAAATAAATGATTGGATTTATTTCAATTATGAATAAATTACGAAAAATTACCTTTGTATGGTGATTTTTCTATATTTGGCACGAGACCAGTCGTGGATCGAAGCGAATCATAAATTCTTGATGCATCGACGCGTATTAAATCTTTATCGTATTCTTATATCAGAGAGGAAGCCATTATGTGACTGTTAGTGCGTGGCGCAGTAAAGCAAATAGCAATGAAATGACCAACCTTTAATCATTTCCTTTACCCCGTTATCTAACCATAGTGGCAACTCCACAGAACCAATTCGTTTTTTACCAAACAAAGCTTGTGGTGATCGGCGTAAATAAGGTTCTTCGTAATCTTTATCATCGTAATCTGTATCATCGTAATCTTTATCATCATTGTTCTCGTCAAGTATCATCGGATCAGAGGTAGCAGCATTTATGGACAATGTGACTTGAATGTCACTTAATAGCTGTGCAAGAGCTTTATCACTATAAATAAAGATAATTAAATATAATAGTTTAGTATGAAATTCGATTTAATTAAATCATCGTTGTTAGTCGCGTACTCGAAATCTAACTCTGGTGGATCGTTGGTGAAAAAACGGCATGCTTTTAGACGTGGATGATGCACTGATATAGATGATAAGGTGCTACAGCTGCTCTTTAATAATTTCGGAAAAGATAAGAACATGATTTCATTCAATCTCCTGTAGTTAATTAATTATTATACGAAAAAGTTGAAAATTTTTAGGCAAATCTATCATGTGTCATATTACTCTGATAAGCATATCGATTTTCTCACAGATTTATAAAAAATTATTCATATCAAAGTGCGTGTTGAATCAACTATCTAAAGCATACATAGGGAAGAAATGGCAAATACTTTTATCTACTCAAAGTATAATGAGGCGAGCCAAAATACCGCGGGAGGCACATTAACATATATGTATCGTTGGAAAATCACAAATTGGAGCGATGTGCGACCTTTCGTAGAACATACCAGCCCTTCCTTTAGTGCCGACGGACTCCATTGGTGAGTGTTAAAGAAAAAACGCGTTTTTTCCTCATTATGCCTGTTAAATATGCCATTACAAGTACTAAATACACTGGAATTCTACAAAGGGTCTTCAAGGTAGATCAAAAAGTTCCTTCTTTGCACTTGACATTGCGAGGCTAGTCGCCTCTTGAAAAAACACCTTTGCTAAGTCCAATTTTATGAATTTTTACTTATTTATATATATAAACGTCAAAAGTTTTATAAAGGACGCCAGAGAAACCCACAGGTACTGTATGATGATTATTTTTCAAATTCATTATGCTTCAATTAAATAAATCGGACTTTGAACGAAATCAAAAAACAGGCGATCTCCCTGTATTTGGGTATTTTAGAGACAACTCCCGGATGTTTAAGAGGAATTCGGAAAAAAGTTTCGATCGTTTTTGTGCTAGAGAATTTGCGTACGCGGGGAATGGATTTTGGGAAAAGTAAGCTATAAAAAATTAGCAACATGCATATCTTTTGATCAATATAAATAAACAAAAACTAATATAAATAATTCATGTAATTAGTGGAGTTACCAGTCTGGTTTTGTGAACGTATGTATAATTCCTTTGTTAATCACAAGCCAATCAGAGTGTATATGCGTCACATAATAATAATAATTGTGTTTATCCAGATCATTCAACATGGGGGGAAGAGAATCTAATGTCGCTAGACGAAATGGATAGGTATTATGAATAACATTCAAGAAAATATATGAATATAGTCAAGTATGTCATAACTCTTATTTTATCATGCTTATAAATCAGATTCATCAGCAACGACACAATATCGCTTCTTGTAAAATTCGAGGTCCAAGAATCAATCATTGACGCACCACCAACAATCACCAACCCATTTGCAAAACTAGTAGACTCGCCTCAATTCTCTGACGTAACATTCCGCGTTATCGATGAATACGCTCGCGAAAAATTATTCTACGCGCACAAAGGTATATTGGCAAGTGCATCACCAGTATTTGAAGCGATGCTTACAAACGGAATGAAGGAAACTTTTGAGGACGAGATACAATTATGTCAAACAAATCATGCGGCGTTTCGCGCTTTGTTGACATTTATATATACGTTCAAGTTTCATATTGGGTCGTTAATTGAAGCGGAAAAGTTGTTGGGATTGTCGGATAGATTTGGAATCGTGCCGGTGCGTGAAGAGTGTTTGCGGTATTTTCGTTTGGAATTGAATTATGATAATGTTTGGGGAATTTGGGGATTGGCAGGTAATTAAAAGATGGAACTATTAATTATTGGTTATCATAATATCTGTCTTTAAAATAACAAAATTTTTGCTTGCTTAATTGTTTCGAATCTAGTAAAATACACTTGCACCAAAACTAGCAATACCTGCCGAGATTACGTTGCTCTTCATCTTGGTGATCTATTGGATAAACAGTCAACTTTAGAAGCCGATCCCAATATACTTCGCTTAGCACTCGAAAACGATGAAGCTAATGTTAGCTCAGAAGAGAAAATATTCGAGATGGTGATAAGATGGGCAAACTATAATACACATTTTTCCACAAAGAATGCATCTACAGACACGCTTCCACCATCACCATCGTCAGTAAACGGTGATAGAGATGTATCCCCGTCACAAAATGATGCTTCAGCATCAATGCCCTCCGAACTTTCTGATGATTGTTCGTTTACTATAAATAACATTAATAAATCACGAAAAAATTCTCAATCTACAAACTCAGAAATGGAGGCGAAAGTACCAGAAGAAGAGGATGTTCAAAAAGTATCGGAAGAGGAGGATGAAGAAAATAATAGCAGTAGCAGTTCTAACAACGACGAAATCAACTATATTAATAAGGGAGACGACATGGATTCTGAAGAATTCAATGAAACCGAGATATTTCCAAGACCCTGGTGTGGTGACAGACTGGCCGCTCTTCCTTCATTGCTAGAATGTGTGAGATTCCCAATGATGCAAAAGAGATACCTGCTCGAGAAGGTTGAAAGCAATACGATGGTGATGTCAGCGGATGGGATGAAGGATTTGGTGAGGGGAGCTTACAATGCGATAATTTCATAAATTAAAATTTTTTATTTACTTAATTTATTAGTTAAACTTTTTTTTTATTTATTGTTTTCTCATAAATTATTCAAATTAATTGCTCTTTGATGCGTTTTTGTCTCACTCTATCTATACTACTGCATATTCGCAGTTGATCGAGGCTTATCGATACCATCTTATGCCGGACGCTCCTATTTTGAAACATTCTTTAAGTGACAGGAATCGACGACGAAAGATGAAATCGGCTGACTAACTGAACGATTGATACTCTTGGTTTTCTGTCAATAAGGGGCATGGCAAATATTAACTGAGATGAGAGTGTGCGTTTATACAGGGGGTCGTAAATCTCCTATAAATATGGGAAATCCGCCTAGAATAAATGCATCTCGGCTAATATCTGTCATTCGCTAATGTATATTATATATCTATGTTCATTGTGGGAAATGAGTGTTTATGTGTTAACAACAAACATTACAACAATAACCATCATTCATCATTTTACACGTACACAAATTTTCATATAATCATTGGATTTTTTAGTTTATTGTTAGTCGCAATTAATATGTAAAATATAGCAAAGCATTACAATAATGAATATATTTACAAATTTTGATTTATAAATTATTCAGAAACTTTGTAGTATTTGAATCTGATAAATCTTAATTTTTCAAAGTAAAATTTCAAATATTCATATTATAATATAAGATGAAATATAATTTGATATTATATAAAATTAATTAAGATTAAAATTTGTTTGAAACAAAAATAGTATTTATAATAAATTATATTATATCATTGTTAAATTTTTAAAAAATTATTATTTTTAAATAAATTATTATATATAAAAATAATTATGTGATTTTTTATATGATAAAATTCAATTAAAATTAATAAATTAAATTAATTTTATTATATTAAGATTATTTAATAATATATTTATTTTAATAATTATATATTGTTATTGTTTTAAGATTATGCGTATGTAATTATTTTAAAATAGTAATAGTAACTGTATTCACAGCAGTTATTAACTTTTATATCTTTAAAAGATTTATGCGGCTGATTATTCTTTTAATAAGATGATATGTATAAGACTTATTTCTAACAAGATATGATTATCTTCTCAATAAGATAATTTATATGTGTTTTACTTATAACAAAAATATGATTATCTTCTCAATAAGATAATATACGTAAATTTACTTCTAATAAAATGCTCTCTCAATAGAGTGAGAAGAAAATAAGATAAGATATAAGATAAAATATATGTGTTTATTAAAGAAAAATACTAATTAACTACTCTTAACTC